CATGAGGCTCTATGGATTCAGAGCCGGTAAATAAACAAACCGGAGCGGCCAGTTAGCAGCTTTCTCGGAGTGGGTCCATGGGCCATTATGAAAAAAACTGATGTATTGCTAAGACTCTCTCTCAAGTTATATTTGTTATTTGAAAGTATTTGAACAGCTTACCCTGCATATGAACTTTATGCAAGATTTAACACTGAAGAGGGAGAAGGAATTAACATATCCTCACTGTATAAAACTACTGATAGCTTTTTATAGAAGAAACTACTGAAAAATGCCCTTATTAAACTAATCAGTAAATGTCCAGCTACAAAATTCTATCTGTACAACCTGAGTGTAACAGTAAATTTAACTGATGCAAAATCCAGTGCTAAAATAAAGCCTGATTCTTGAATCAATATTCAACTCACTGACACCAAACAAGATAAATTTGTCTGAAAGGTGAAAAAAATAAAATGAATGATTCTTAAGACTGTCTAAAGAGACACAGTTCAAAGGCAAATTTGTGTTCTGCAACTAAGTTTTGAAGGAGCAGCTTCATTCTGAATCACTAGTACTGTTTTTTTACCTCTTTTGAGCTAATTATGCCCTCAGGAAAAAGAAAGTGTAAAGAAAGTGAAGTTCAACCCATAGCAACAAGTAACTTCTAAATAAATTATCTGATCTTTCGAACCCTCTGCTCTTATTTAAAACAACAATGAAAATATGCCTGTATAGTCTGATCTCAGGAAGAATGTTTGTTTGGATATGTGAAACTAAAAGGGAGGCAAATTAAAGCCCATTTGAGCAACATGCTCTAATACTAGTTTGTGTGTATACAGTGGGAAAGTGTTTCCTTAAAAGGGCTTAATTTAACAGAAATAGGCATGATAAACATTAACTCTTTGGCGACTGTAGATTTACATACACAAGTCATTCAGCTGTAATTGCTGGCATTTTTCCAGAAAAACAGTCATAGGAAAATGTTTTTAAAAATGCCTAAAAATGCAATTTGACAACAAAAGAAAGTGATCTTTTCAATTCTCCCTTACGGTCTCAAATGAAGACATTTCTCAAGTAGATCTGACCTTCTGTTTAAAACCTGATTTCTTGAAAAGTGGGCTGTGTGTACAATTTTGATAATCTAACTCAGGGGAGGCAATCATTTTTGACAGGGGGGCTACTCTAAGGCTGCATCTAGACTGGCATCATTTTCTGCAAATGCTTTTAACGGAAAAGTTTTCCGTTAAAAGCATTTGCGGAAAAGAGCGTCTAGATTGGCACAGACGCTTTTCCGCAGAAGCACTTTTTGCGGAAAAGCATCCGTGCCAATCTAGACGCGCTTTTCCACAAAAAAGCCCCGATCGCCATTTTCGCAATCGGGGCTTTTTTGCGCAAAACAAATCTGAGCTGTCTACACTGGCCCTTTTGCGCAAAACCTTTGCGCAAAAGGACTTTTGCCCGAACGGGAGCAGCATAGCATTTCCGCAAGAAGCACTGATTTCAGACAGTAGGAAGTCAGTGTTCTTGCAGAAATTCAAGTGGCCAGTGTAGACAGCAGCTGCTTTTGCGGAAAAACTTGCCAGTCTAGATGCAGCCTAAGATTTTAGAAAGTGGTAGAGGGCCACAATCTTCCATGATATTAATGGAGAAGGTGCAGGGGCTGGGATGGAGGCTGGGTACAGAATGGAACTTGAGGAAAGAGACTGGGGTGCAGGAGAGAGAGTGGGGTCTGGGAGGGAGTTTAGGTGATGAAGGCAGTTGTGACTGGGGGTGTGTGTGTGTGTGTGTGTGTGTGTGGAATTGTCTCCTGGGGGAGATGTGTGTGCAGAGGATTTTGGTGGTGACCTGGGACAGGGAGCTGGAAAGTGCGAGGGGCTGGGGTGCCGGAGGCAGGCTCTGGCCAGGAGACTTACCAGCCAGCAGCCCAACCAGCCTGCCTGCCGAGCTAAATGCTTGTAGAGCTTAAAACAATTCTCAGCCAGCCAGCCTGCCTGTCTGCTCCGTGCTTGCACAGGCTGCAGGGCCATGTTCTTCTGTGAATAACTGAGCTGGAGGGGAGGCAGTATTGTGCTTTGCATGCTGCCTGTTATTCAAACAAAAACCAGCCAATAAGATTGTGCTGGAGACAGGGACAGCGCCTGAAGCCTTCCCTCCCACTCCAGGATCACAATTGCTTTCCTAAAAGGTGTGCACAAAAACCAGCCAATAAGATTGTGCTGGAGACAGGGACAGCGCCTGAAGCCTTCCCTCCCACTCCAGGATCACAATCGCTTTCCTGAGAGGTGTGCAGGGCAAGCAGCGGAGCTTGCCTGGGGCAGCCCACTGCGTCCGTGGCTGAATCTGGTGGCTTGGCAGGCCAGATTCGGCCCACGGACCATATTTTGCCTGGGCCTGGTCTATCTGGGCGTTTTGTATGTAGCACCAAATAGCTATCACACTAGAGCCACGAAACCAAAGCTGACTAAAGGCTATCAAGACCCTAAGCAAGAAAGGCGAAGCTGCCTGAATCACTGCAGCCACTTTGCTTCATGCTTCCTAAAGACATAACGCAACCTCACAGTCAGTCAGAGCTTTGTAATGCAAACGTAGGGCCTAATCCCATAAGATACTGACTGTCCCTAACTGCCACTGCAGTTGATGTCACCCAGCATGTCAAAGGGTCAAGGCCATAGTCACTTCCTCTTGTCCAAGTGTTTCCCAAACAAACAAAAAAAAGAGAGTAAAAGCTTTTTCCCCTCACGTCCACAAGGCAGAAGAACAGGATTGCGCCTTAGAATTCTACCAATTACTTTGTAGAGGTAACAGCTACTATGCTGGCTAGCATGTGGGAAGACAATCTTTCAACCCAGGAAACAGCCAGAACCCAAATTCTGCAGCGCCCACCATCCACCCCACTTCACATCTATCAGCATCTCTGCTCCTTAGGAGTACAAGCCAGAACAGGATTTGACTTGAAAATAACACAGGGACTGCACTCAAGTGTGCCACACGTATTCAGCTACTTTGCAGCAGTTTACACTGCATTGGTCACCAAAACTATGGCGATCAGTGACAAAAACCAACCCAGATGTGTGGGAGACACTTCAGGCATCCAAAGGTTCCAGCAGGGAGTGAGACAGGAACCCATATGAAGATATTACAGGTTAGTGACCAAGTTTTGTAGAACTTTATTTCTTATGGTATCATGAGCTTTCGTGGGTGCAACTCACTTCCTCAGATGACTCCTCAGAGTGGGTTTCACCCACAAAAGCTCATGATACCATCTACATGCTTTGTTGGTCTTTAAGGTGCCACCAGACTATTTGTTGTTTTTAAAGTTTTTCCTGTTACAGACTAACTTGGCTATAATTAAATAGAACAGGGTTACTCGTGGCCCACGGGCTGCATGCAACCTGCAGCCTGTTTATTTGTAGCCTGCAGTGTGGTTTGGGTTTACACGGGGCTCAACACACTGCCGCAGGTGAGATCCTTTGTACATGGCCTCCACTGGGAACACGCTCCACAACAGCAAGGCGTCTCCCAGTCAGGGTGAGCACGGAAAGACGCAAGTGGACAGCTGGCTGGAACACATGGGTACAAGGTGTTGGCGTTTCTAGCCCCCAGGAAGGAAGAAATAAGCTTTCTTTCTTATGACACCTTTGCTAGATTCTTTTATTCTGACTGAGGTTTACAAATTTCCAATTTCTTTTACAACTGTTCTAACTTCAATAAAAAATAAATAAAGCACATGCACAGACCTAGGCAACTGGGAGTAGGAGCAGAGCCACCTTCAAGTAACCTGATCGAAAAGGCTAGATCAAGTTGTCAGTGACTGAAAAACCTACCAAAAGGCCATCGCTGTCTACTTACATGAAACAAGTTCACTATCTCAGTCCAGCTGTTGAGTCAGCCACAACAGACACCCCTTTCCAGAAGCTTCAGGAGAGGAACTAGTAAGTGAATGGGCATGAAAACTAAACTCCCCTCTTATCTACAGAGCTGCAAAACCAAGCTACTCCCTCATATGCTTGAGCGCTCCATTGCAGAGCATTCTGCTACCTCGCCCAAGCTGCACCTATTCTGGGGACAGAGGATTTTGGTCTGTAGGGAGGTAAATCTGGCATCTTTCATGCATTCTCACATCTGTTTTCTTAAAATAATGGCCTTACGTCCATTAACATCGTTCTGTATGGTTCTTAATGGAGGCGTCATTCTCTAGTTTTCCTCTAGAGAATCATTAAAATTCATCTGAATGAATTTATCTTTGAGAAATGAATTTCAGCACAGAAATTCAGAAGAAAATACTGGATAAAAATATCAGAAAGGAGTCTGATTTTCTAATGCATAAGAACATAAGAACGGCCGTACTGGGTCAGACCAAAGGTCCATCTAGCCCAGTATCCTGTCTACCGACAGTGGCCAGCACCAGGTGCCCCAGAGAGGGTGGACTGAAGACAATGATCAAGCGATTTGTCTCCTGCCATCCCTCTCCAGCCTCTGACAAACAGAGGCCAAGGACACCATTTTATCCCCTGGCTAATAGCCTTTTATGGACCTAACCTCCATGAAATTATGTAGCTTCTCTTTAAACTCTATTATAGTCCTAGCCTTCACAGCCTCCTCTGGCAAGGAGTTGGGTTTTGGGAGCTGGATAAACACTGGGATATTTTCTCATAAAAAACACTAACAAACTGACTCAAGAAGGTTGGTGCCCTTTAAACTCCAAAATTTCCTGTTCAGACACTACTGTTTATAATGTCAACAACTGCTGGGCCCAATTAAGAATTTTAGGCCTGAACTGTTTGGTTTCAATAAGTTCACTAGTGTCCTAACTTTGCAACAGGAAGGTAAGACACCTAAAGACGACCCTTCCATATCCATTATGCAGACATCATGGAGCCCACTAGTAACAAAGGGCATGCAACAGCTCAGTCCCTTCTTTGCAATCCTTACATTGCATCATTTCTGATATAAAAAAAACCCATACAAACGTTGAAGCCTGACCCAGAACCCAGTCTGCACACCATCTTTATGGCCTTCACCTTGTTTTGTTAGTGCATCTCTAAGACTTGGAGTGATCATCTCCCTCCTTTCACGCTCCTCATTTTTCCCAATGCTCTGCTGAAATGGACCTGTCCTGCCAGTTTCTTCCTCGACTTCACGTTCCTTCTGTTAAAAGAGAAAGAATTACAATCATTCAGCTGAATATGCAACATTTAGACATAGGATATTCTTAGCAACCTCAAATCAGAGCTATTAAACCTGATAGCAATTCTGGCGCACCAAGATGAACCTGGCACTCATGCAATTCATTTGTTAAAAGCTCATCCTCTAATATCCCATCCCCCCCCCTTGCCATGCTGTCAAACACTAACATTTGGAGTCTAATGGAGCTTGGCATCTAAATCCCACAGAAAGTCAATAGGATTTGGGCACCTAACTCCACTAAATTCCTTTGAAAATCTCCAGCCACAGTGACTTTCCTCTCCAAGTACATTACAATTGATCCATGTGTGCAGGGATCACACCAAAATGCAGCCACCTCTTAAGTAAAAAGTTGTCCTAACAGGCCACAGAAGTATTTTAGACAGTAAGACAATTTACTGAGCTGAAGACACGTAATGCTGCCCTACACTTACACTAAGTACTCTCGGACCTTTCCCGACCTGTGCTTCGGGCCTCTGTTTATATCTATTTAGAGCATTGCACATTCGAAAAACATAACTCTGCCTTTTATGCAATATTACTGCAACAGGTGGGATTCTCAACACAGGACCAACCAACTTCCCAGGGAGGGCTTTTATCATCACAGAACCCACCTAAGATTAGACCCACCATTATCAGCCACTGTATAACAATAACAGATACGATACAAATATGGTAAGTCCAGCTTGACATGAATAAAGCAATAACAAGGAGTAGTATAAAGATAAGAAGGCCAAAGAAATATGTAACTGTGAATCCCCTGCTATATGGTGGTCACTTCTGAGATTGCACTGCCATTTATAATTCATCTGACAGCACACGTGGAAGCGTATAGAACAGTGGTTCCCAACCTCTTTTATACTGCAGAGCGGCAAACTCATTAAAAAACTTTTGGCAGACTGACAGACACATTTGCATATTCATTACGGTAATAATTAATTTGAATATGTGTATATTCATTATGGTGATTGATTTTAATCTGTCACGTGTTATTTTGTCGACCGCCCGCCAGCCATTAGGTTCCTCCAGTCCT